ATATTTAAAAAATTAAACTAAATTTAACCGATAAAGTAGCTAAGAAGGGCTGTGTGATCAGGGGCAATGTTTGATGAATACAGATCAGTCAAAGTAAGCTTTCCGTGCCGATATATTATGAAGGCTTTTAATTTATTTATTATTATTATTTATTTATTTTTTTTTTTTGGGGAGATAAGGGATTATGGAGATTTTCCTCGAAAGGTTTAGATATAATTTTTTTTTTTGGGGTTTTTTGTGTGGATATAGAAAAATGGTTTCGAAGTTGAATCGTCAGTGGGACTAATATGCATGGATAAATAATTTCGGAGGAGACACCAACAAAGTTTTGGGTGTGAACACTTAATCGGACTAGGGACCATCTGCGTAAAAGTTGAGGAGAAAAGATTATTGACACGTTCGTGTTTCGAAACAACCCCATAAATTATAATAACCACACAAAAAAGAGGCTCCATAAAAGCAAAGATTCGTAACCTTTATCTTTTGTATAAAAAAATAAAATTAATCTTCAGTGATGTTGCATTAATTAAGGATGTAAATATTTATTAGGTTAAAAGTATTAAATTTAAATAATAAAATAATAAAAATTAATAATTTAAATAATTTAATAATAATTTTTTATAATAAAAATAAAATATTTTAAATTAAATTATATAATAAGTAAATAAAAAATAAAAAATAATTATTTTTTAATATGTAATTAAGATAAAAAAAATTAAAAAAATTATTATATGACCTATTATTTAACCTGATAAAAAAAATAAAAAAAAATAAAAATTTATTTGATAGCAGCTTACCATTCGAAAAAGTCTATAATACATCTATTGTATATCTACGTGCTATAATTAGCCTATTAAAAATTTGAAATATAGACAAAACTAGACGCCATTTTCCCGCACACAGAGATCTACGTGTGAATTGTTATATAACCCAACTTTTGACGTGTCAAACACTTATCAGCAATAATTGCATGTATTACTTTCTTTTTTTGGCCAACAGTGGTATGTATTACTTTTTTTTTTCTTTTTCATTTTTTCTGGGTACACTGTGGTACGTATTCCTTGACTCGGCATTTTTGTTCCATTGTTATAATTAACAATTTAGTATGGTGAATTGATATTTTCAAGAAAAATCAAATGGTGAATTGTTCATACTACATGGCATAATTTCATAAAAAGATAATGATAAAATGAATAATTTTTTTTTATTTATATTCTAAAGATATAAATTAATAATATTATAAAT